TCCGGTTCCGAATTCTGCCATTTTATATTTTCCAAACTACCGGATACAAGGGGACCCCCGTGGAAAGTTGGTGTAATGTTACACAACATACATTGTCCGTTAGGAGAGGTCAAGATGGTCTCTTGCGGGAAGGTTTGTGACAGCGTATTATCGGCGGTGTTCGAGTATGATACTGCTAAGATAGTGCATATAAAAAGCAAGAAGGTTGGACTGATTAATCGCTTGATACAACTGCTTATTATTGTTTACATTATAGGGTAAGTGTTCCAACTGATATTTGCTCGCATGCATGCGAGTTCGAGCTGTTACTAAGGAATAATTCAAAGACAACTTATTCAGCTTTATTCAAGTGCTGATTTGGAGATCATTTTGTAGCCAATGCATTTTCTTTACATGGTCATATTCTGATTAATTTCGATGAAAAGTGAGCTCTTGTAAGCCTTACCTTGACTCTGGTGCTCATTTGAGCGTAAAATGGAATTTCTGCGAAACTGGAAGAATTAAAACTTTATTATTACATGTATTTTATCCTATCATTCTTTTCTCACTTTTGCTGCGTGAGACCTCGATTTCTTTGTTTAATTTCATTGATGTAAGAAACAGAGTAAGCAAAAAATCTTGAACATGAATAAGGAAAATATCCTCATGTAAAATGGTGTATTTGAAAATGCAGGTGTAATCAAGGGTTTGACTTACGGGCACCTGAATGAGTGCCGGTGAATTTCTGCTTCAATTAGTCTAAAAACAAGCTAGCATACATATGAATAAAGGCTGATAGTTTCGAAAGAAACTGGAGCTGCGTCGGTGGGAGTAACGAAATAATTTGGATATATCAACAAAGTTGAAATGGTAAATTGGCCACCGTAACGATTACGAAAGCTGACGTTTCGAGCGTCAGCCCTTCGTCGGAGCGTATAGAGGTAAAGGGTTTCAAAAGGTGGCGTTTCAGGCGTCAGCCCCTCGCCCTGACGAAGAGCTAACGTCCGAAAAGTCAGTTTAGAAGATGATAAAACCAAATTATCTTCACATCATGTGAAAATTTAATTCAGTCAATCAGCCAATTCACTCCCGACTGTTCCTCCGGTTCTCTTTTCACATAAGGATTTAAATGATCGAAGCAATTCACAGTGTTAGGTTTTCCTGAACTCGCTTAGTTTTGCTCGAAAGGCGAGTTTTAAAACAACGGTGCCAAGTAAGAACAGTAAAATCAGTTGTTGAAATGAAAATTCGCGTGCCGCGGTTGAAGGAGTAAAGATTGAATGATAGTACTTGAGTTAACCCGAGGTGTTTTCTAAAATTTTGTTAATAGCACTCCACGTAAAAGTAATTGAGAAAACGGTGTAAAAATCAAAGGGTTTATTTTCCTCTTTAATCTTCTAAAATGAAAATACAGAAAAGAGCAAGATTAGTGACAATTTCTAATAATGTTACTACTTTTATTTTTATCTTTTAATTG